GGGGATAAAAGGTGCTGGGAGAAAATAAAATAATATTTAAAAATAGAAAGAATTAAAAAAGAAAAAAAGCCCTGTGCTAGGATAAGTCAGAGCTGGGAACTTAGGCTCTGTAGGGAAACGGGCCCGAGGCTACGTTCAGCAAGTAAACCGTCAAAGGCCACGGACTGATCAGTGCCAGCGGGCGTGTTACTTCCAAACCACACGCCAGGCCCGTTACCAAGTCTCCGGGCTCCCTGACACTGCTGCTGTCTCCTTCCTTCTCAGTGAAGCATCAGGAAGTTTCAAGATTAAGGGGGGACCAATAGACGGTACCTGTGACAGTTTCCTTTTACTCGCTCGTTCCTATACTTGAAAGTAGCAATTTGCGAAGCTCTGACAAGCCTATCGCTGCGAGGACGTGCCCTGTCCCCTCGGCCCTCCGGGAGGGGTCTGCTCGGGCCACCGCCCGATGAGGCCGACCAGAGGACAGAGCCCCGGAAAGCCCAGCTTCTCACCTTCACGTCCCCAAACATGGCCGGGAGGTCGTGCGTGCGGGTGCTGAGGCTGAAGTGGTACAGGATGTCTTCCTTCATCGCCGCTATGTTTGGGTTGCAAAGGTGGACGAAGCCGTCGCTGTGCCGGGCCGGGAAAGCACAAGGTTAGCAGAGCCCCGGTGGCCCCGGGGCGGCAGCCGGCATGATGGTAGCGAGGAGCCCGACGTTAGCGTGTGGCGCGTGGTGGGAAGGACAGGCCCCCACTGCGACAGACACCCCACCGCCGGGCTCCCGCCTCCTGTCTGCTGTCTCCCCCTCCCGCTCCCCACACCCAGGGCCCTGTCTGGAGGGCGGATTGAGCACAACTCCAGGAAACCGAAAAGCACAAGGCTGAAAGGCTTAATCACATGACTCAAGTTCACGCAACACAAACTTGACCTAATTTTCAAAATAATACATTCACCGCGGACAGAAACAGAAGGAAAAACCTGCCAGACGTCAAGTATTTTTGGTTTGCAAGCCATCTGAGCTTTGCCACAACTACTCAGCTCCGCCACCGTCACAGGAAAGGGACCACAGAGAACACGCCAACCACTGTGGTTGCTCCAATAAGACTTTACTCACAAAAGCAGGTGCCCAGGTCCAAAGTGTATCTTCGCCTGAGAAATCCCTGAGAACAAACCCTACACGCCTCCTTCCACTTGTGCCTCCCTGACGCCCACAGACAGGTGTGCTCCCCAAAACCCGGAGCCAGGAGCACAGAGGGAGACAGATGTGGACCCCTGGCTACAGCAACCGGGACCTTCTCTCTCTCCCTTCAGAGTCTGACTTCCTGCCCAAAACCCACTGATGACAGAAAGAAAAAAAAACATGCAGGAGAAGGTCTCAGCTGCCTGTGACCTGGAAACCCCACTGCAGGACTTCCCACGGCCGGGCCGCACATTCTCCCCGTGAAAACCATGCCCAGCAGGCCCGTCCGGCATGGAGCTCCACCGCCCCATCTGGGAGACGCTGCTCATGACTCAGGTCCCTACGGCAGCGGCCTCTCCCTAGGGGTACAAGTGTTTGGAGGTTTGTCCAATATTTTCCTACCAAACAGATGTTCTGGACAGCTACAATGCCAATTTTTATTTCCGTTTATTTATTTTTGCTTCAGGCATGAAAACGGGTTATTTCCCAGGAAAACACGTTCTGTGTAGACTCTTAATAACTGAGACACAAGTCACACCTGCACTGAATACCTGCTCTGCTCCAGTCACTCTGACAACATTTACATAATGAATGTAATCATTTTAATTCTCTCCAGTAACAAGAAGTCCTGGGGGCCATGACCAGCTCTTATTTATTGGTGAATCCCTGCAGGATACAGCAGACACACAAACAGGCCAAGCCATGTGCCCTGCTTCATCCATCTTATCACTGTATCTGCGTCCTATTTTATCCGTCCCCAGTTTATCTTATCCATCATTTTATCTCTCCCGGTTCTGATTTATCTAATATTGTATCTATGTCCTATTCTAATCTATCACTGTATCTGTGTCCACTTCTGTCTTATGTAACATTGTATCTAAGCCCCAGTTCATCTTATGTAACATTGTATCTAAGCCCCAGTCTGTCTTATATAACATTGTATCTAAGCCCCAGTCCGTCTTGTATAACATTGTATTCATGTTCTGTTCTAATCATCACTGTATCCGTCCCTAGTCTATCTCACCTCTCACTCTCCCTGTTCTCCTCCACCATCTTATCTAGTCTCTACCTGGCTTGGGCATCAACAACAGTTCACAACCCCGCTCCCACTCCCATGTCCCCTCCCATCGCCCTAGAAGGGCATCCACATTAACTCACACCTGGGCATTCTCAAAAGGCTGGTATAGAAAAGCTGAGCACAAAATATTAAAGAGAGACAGAAGGACATTTTTATAAAGGGAACCTGCCAGCTGCCATGGGCAGGTGCTAGACATCAGACGCCTGTGGGCTCATCGTGGTCATCAGCACCCGGGGCAGAGGTGCTGCAAACCTCACTCGGGAAGGGCCCAGAGCCATGCTCCTCTGTCCCACCCCCTGCCTGGTCCTGAGCAGGCTCCCTGGGGCCCCAGATTCAGGGTGTATTTCTCCCTCCTGGGGCAGGGAGGCCACTTTCAAGAGACTGAATCACTAGGACCATCCCTGTTGATCTCTAGGCCAAGCGGACATTCTGACTCCACGCCACTGCCACAGCATCCTACGCTCCTTAGTGACAACTGTTGATGTGCCCGTGGTCCTGTGAGGAGGCCTCAGGGTTCTGTGCACCCAGAGCTCCAACAGCAGGACCCACTGCCAGCCTCCGGAACTGATACAACAGGCTGTGACTGCAACAACGTGGTCACACATTGCAACACAGAAACCCTTCCCTTTCTCTCTGATTCTAGGAAGAAGAGACGGCAACAGGGTGTGACTGACAACCAGCAATGATTTTAAAATAGATGAAGTGGACTCGGGCCACAACGGACTGGATGTGCTCACACCTATAACCTAAAGGATTTAAAGCGACAAGTCAAGGACACCTTACTTGGAAAACCAGGTCTCCAGCCCACACACAGTCAAGTAATTTCATTCTGCTCTGTGCCATCAGTTCTTTCAATTAACAAATATGACTGAGCCCCCACTTCGTAAAAAAAAAAAAAAACGTGAGGCACAAATAAATGAAAACTGGCTTCTGATTCCAGCTGATCAGCAGGGAGGGCAAAGCACTCCCCACTCCTGACTCCCATGCATACTGGCCGCTGGGTTTGAGCAGCTGGGGACCAGGGAGAGGAGGGAAGGGGCTGGGGGGCTCGGGAGCCTGGGCTGAGTCTAACAATTAAGAAACACACACAAGGCCTCGTAAGACAGAAGGCATTCGACTTTGTGGTGGAGATGATGTCACTAATATCTGGGACCTAATAATTCATTTAATGCTCAGAAGCTGAGTTCTAGGAAGACCCCCATTTCAAAGGTTTGCAGTCTCATCTTTAGTAAGAGGTGGCACTCAGAGGTCCTGAGCAGGTGGCCATAAAACTACTGAGGGAGGGTAAACAATTACTGAGCGAGGGAAGGGGTGAGTCACACAAGTGGCACTTGAGCCCAGCGCCCCC